TACATCCCACTGCAAATCATCTTTCATTTTTCATTCTGTTGACCTGGATATTATTATTTCTTTTCAGAAACAGGAAAAAAAACGAACATCTGTGTCTCCTTCCAATCTGCTGCACATCTGCGCATTTTGTAGCGGGTCTTCAAAGTTCAGTTAGCAACCCACGGACGCCATTCATCTTCTTGTTAAAATGTCTACTGCTGTATCCAATGCTCATGCCCTTGAGGGTTTTCTTTTTTTTTTCCATTATTGTATATAAAGAACATTGTGACTTTTAATATTAGCATTTTTGCTTTCAACAGCAATTAGCAATCTCTTGGTTTGCTGTTTGGTAAAGCATCGGTTAATGAGGTCATCTAGTTTAAAATCCCAGCTACTTGAAAATAACAGGGAGGAGGTCAAATCTATCATTTCATGTTATATTCTCTGCTCTCTTTTCAGTTCTCTAAAGAAAAGATATCTTTGTTATCCACAATAAGTCATTACGACCCGTTACTGGCCCTCTGTATTACTACCACCTCAAGATACAGTTAGGTTCTCTCTTGCTGAAGTACTGAAATAGGATAATTCATCTAATAAACAAACAAACAAAAAAAAAACAACTTTGAGCATCTGAGGATGAGGAATTGGTTTCGCGTTGGTTGTGTTGTCTTTCCTTCGACAGTTCTGAGTTCATGTCTAGCGAGGGGTTGTCTCTATGGTGGAAGGGGTTCCCGGGGTGGTTGACCTCGGAGTGGCTGCTGGTGGTGTGTCCATTGGGCTCCCAGCCCCGCTGTTGGGCGTGACGGAGGAGCTGACTGCAGGTGTGTCTCCCTGCTGCTGGGCCTGCAGGGTCTGTCCACAGATGTGGTGGTGCTTCTCCCAGTCTTTGTGCTGGCAAAATGAGCCACAGTATCGGGCTGTGTTACAGCCACTGCAGGTTTCACTCGCTTTACGGCCACAATTCCAGCAACTCTAAAGGAGATGGCAGAAGGCAGCAAGATCCCAAATTAATACATGGTTAAGGCAATAGTGTGACAAATATGTTAGGCATCACTGTAGCCTTATTTGTAAGAACTATAGAGTCAGGATGAAAAATGCAGGTGTTCACATATGGATATACACACTAAACACAGAAGATGCATGTTTTGGTGGGATGATTGTCCAAACTGTTCTGCCAACAACTACTATGGCATTTAACAAAGTAGCTGAAGACCTTTTAAGTTCTTACTGTAACATCCTTTCTTTTTAGGTTTGGTTATCTTTATACATAAATTCTCCATTCATTCATACGGACTGGCAATTACTATCTCCAAATTTTTTCCCAATATGTGTACCACAATAGTCAGACACACAGATATATCTGAGCAGAAGCTTCTTCCTTTTACATACCAGAACCCTACCTCTATTGGATTCAAAGAAATGCAGTAGATAAAGGATTCTATTCCCTGCTCCTTCACAGACTAGGCAGGGTGAAGCAAAGTCCTTTAACCTCTGTCTGTTTTTAGTTCTTCCCACTGCAGCTATTCAGTAAACCTTACAACCACATGCTAGGACTGTGTTAAAATAACCCCGTTTACCTCAGCTCCCTGAAGGACAGGATCCTTGTTTTTTTTTTTTTTTTTTTTTTCTCTCTCTCTGTATCTGAAGCACCCAGAATGGTGCCTGATAGGTAGTAAGTGCTCAATAGAGATTTGTGAAATGGATGCATTAGACTATGCCTAATTTGGCTTTTGAGAAATGAGAAATGCTAAAACTAGCCAAATAACAATTCTATTTGCACCGAGTTCCTTCCAGTCAATGGACCTGCTCTGCTGCTCCTTTGTGCCTCAGCAACTCTGGGAAGTCAGAAAAGCAGAGAGAACTGGGGCTCATCTGGGAGTGATGAGAACAAAACTCAGACCCTAGAAAGTTCACTGCCAGTTGTGGGCAGTGTTTTGCAAGACATGAGAAAATTAGGAATGAGGTTGCCGCTAGGACTTAAACTTTAAGATAAATGCATTGTGAATTAGAGCACCAACATACTAGAGACAGAAGAGCACCTGTTGTAGATAGGGCCTAGGCAGGGAAGGAGGAATGAGGAGGAAACTAACCTTCAGGAGTCCTCCTATGAGTGCGGTGGGAGGGGGACTTCAGAAAGCTGACCTTAAATGTTTAAATGTTCCTAGATTCTTTGGCAAGACCTACCCCATTATGCAAAGCTATAGTAAGTGATCTTAGCTTTATGTTATTCAACTTTTTATTCTTTATCTTCATTGGTTTTGATTACGTCCTTGAAAAACAAACTTCTGACTACAATCTGGTAAACCCAAACAGGTGATGCTATGTGCTTGTGTGGTAAGAAAGATGTTTAAAGCCCTGACATAGGGTAGATATTGCAGGTCTCCCTATGGTGTTCAGGTCTCCCTACTGTGTTCTCTACATTTGCTTTTCTTCCAGTATACTGGTTATGTGGCTTAAGGTAAACTCATGAGCTGCTAGCAATACTATACTCCCAGGAAAGGTCAGCCCATCACCCTAATGTATATAGCTACCACTATGCAAAACGTGCAAGGGAATTTATAGCAGCCATCCTAACTTGCTAACAAATAAATGGGCTCCCAGAGGCTTTCATGTGCTAGAAGCCTTTAAATTCAAGAACTCCAATTTAAAACTTTTAGAAAGAGCCCAGCTCCATTTTCTTATTTCTTTAACCATCTGACATTACTAAATTGAGCAGAAAAGCTCAAACAAAAAACAGAAATAAAAAAGAAAAGAAATTACAACTCAACAAGGAAAAACAAAACAAAAATTTAAAATCTCAAACTCTGGCCAATGAGAGGTGTTTGAAGTAAATATGAGGAAATCTAGAAACTTGGTTGATACTGTCAATGTCATAAGTAAAAATAAAATTTAAATGAATACTCAGTACTAAAACAAAAAAATTTTTCCTACTTCAATTAATTTAAGAAAATATCTCAATAGATGTGAACCTCTGATCAGAAGGTTCATTACCATAACTAGAAGCTCTCTCTCTGAAAATTAATTCAACTGTATTGCATGTACAATGGTTCCACAAAGACATGAGCAAAGGTAGGCCCACCCTTCAAAGCTGCGAGGTATGAAGTGCTCAGAGTGAAGTTTACTTCCTTGAGGTTTAGGCTTTTAGAGTAATGCCAGCTGGATCCTGGAACAAACTCAGCAAATAAGCGATATTCCTAAATTACACCAGAATATCCCAATTAGAGAACAGAGACTCACATCCAAAACAATATTTTAAGGAAATTAAACATCTAATCTGAGTCAAGTGGCTTCTTTAGGAAATACCCTGGTGTGAGTCCTATCTGTTTTTTGGCAGAGGCATGTTTTGGCAGACACAGGGTGGTAACTGTCCAATACTCAATGGCTCCTTCAGATTGAAATCAGATGTATGCAACATTCTCAATTTAAACTGATTAAACACACAGACTAAACCAGGTAATTACAGATGCATGTGCTGGGAAGTGGAAAGGGAGACAGAATGGGGGTTTCTTTATTTTTTAAAGTGTTTTCAAAGATGGGAACAATTTTACAAATAAAAAAGTGGAATTGTGCCAAATACAGAAACAGATGTTTTGGATCGTGAAGCTGCTGGGAATTGAGTCTTCTTGCCTAGTATTGTCTGGTTCTGATCCAGGAGTTAAGGAGTCTGGCTAGTTTTACCTCTAGTTTCATTCTGAAGTTGTTTGATTCTATTCATTTACCACCCACCACTGGGACAGACACACACACACACACACACACACACACACACACACACATCTTCAGCTGTAGGAAGTTACAAAAAGAGCAATTTAAATGATCTGGTAAAAAAAGAAAATCTGTAAATTTTTATTTCTCTTGACCCTGCACTGCAATGAATGTGTAGGGAGCTTTAGCAAAGTGTTCAGCTAACAAAAGCTCCAAAGTGCATATTCATTTTTAAAAGCTTATTAGAAAACAGAAAGAGCAATTTCTATAAATATATTTCTCTTGGATGGCTCCAGTGAATTTCTTGTTGACTAGTCCATACCTGCAAGACTGATGCCTGATCAGTGACACTCAGCCCCAGAATAGTCACAATTCTGGAAACAGTGGAAGGTGCAGAATCTTGTGAGTAGCCCATTTGGATCACTCTAAGCTTTCTATTGTTCACAAAGGTGGAAACTGCAAATTGTGTCTAACATCCACGTGTCTATCCACAAGGGCTGGGATAAAGGCAGTCAATGGCTTAATTCGATTTTACATTTTCAATTTGTGCATTTTATATTCAAGGTATTTCATTTGTTTATTCTACTTTTAAATGACTGAGCTTCCCTTTCAGGCCTCTTAGGAGTGTTGTGACTGCAATTACCACCATAGTGTAGAAACTTCACAGATACCCATTTCATAGCTTATTTCATTCCCAAAGCTCATGGCACTTTATAGTCTTCCCTTATTTGTGATAATGTTTTTCCCTTTTTGGCATAAAAAATATTTCCCTCTCTATCTGAAAAATAAGAATAAGTCAATTGACCAAAGTTCGGTTGTAACTCAGATGAAGAATTTATGGCTGCACACAAATCTCCTCTTTGCTAACTATACTAAAGGCTATATACAGAATCGATGGGTTGAAGCTTTTGAATGCCAACACCGCATATTGAAGATGTCTGACACTTTGTTTCAAATCAGCAATTCTCTTTCTCCCTAAGAAAACTATTTCCTTCATCAGAGAATGATCTTTCTGTTGTACAGGCATATATCCTTTCTGGTTCTTACTGCAGAAAAATATTTTTCTGAAAGACAAAATATCTTTTGTTTTGTCTCTTAATTGCTTTAAGTCTCTCCAGGTCTTACATATCTATAATTCTCCAGAAAAACTTGCAATGCATTGATGTGTAATTAAGTATAATAGAATGATTGTAATTGAAACTCCCCAAATGTTAAGAATCCTACAGAAGGCAAGACACTGACTTAAATTCACATTAAGATCACACCGTCATCAACTTGTATTGCACTTGATAATTTAAAATAATTTTCACACATATTTTGCAGTTCAGAAACTGGGGCCCTCAAAATAAATAATTTTTTAACAGCAAAATGCTTGCCCCAAGTCACAAAAATATAAAATTACATAGCCAAAGTTTGATTCACCCAGATGTTTGGATTGCAAATTAAAAATACCCTTTCCAAAATGCCACACTTTGTCAATTTCAGATCTTTCTTAGATCTCATTGTGGCAGGAACAGGTTAGCCGGCACTTAACTCCCAAAAGTGGACAGAAATTGAATCCTAAAGTTAGAGGCAGCAAAGACAAGGTGTCAAAGTATGTAATGAAAATGGCACAGGTTTCAAAGCCAGACCAACTTCATTTCATTTCCAACTTCATCTCTTAGTGGCTTTAGATCCACAAGCCAGTTACTTAGCTTCCTGGAGCAACAGAACATGTAAAGCAGGAATCATAACTGCAGGATTATTCAGGATTATGCCAGTGCTAAACACAGTGCGTGATGTTCAGTAGGTCCTGAATAAATGGCAGGTATTAACATCACTCCCTCTCTTTGGTACTGACTTCAAGAAAAAGAGCAATCCTTACTCCAGATCCAATACCTTACAACCTTTAGAATTAGAAAGCTCATGGTCTCACTCATATTAAGTGCTATCACCCACGGGCACTGACACAGGAAAAAACATTAACTTACTCTCCTTTATACTTTATTAGTGACTAACAATTTCTTCTCCATCTTCATTTGCTGTTCTCAAAATTTGTGAAGATTTACCATTGCTATTTCTCTGTTCTTCCTTATTAAATGCGTTTTGTTGAAATTTCCACTAATTTTGGTTTCCTAGATACTACTAAAAAATTCTCTTTCATATACAATAACTTTTTCTGTTGTTTCTTCTTTTCCCTGTAACTAGTTGATGCTGAGGGAGGGAGGCATGCTGGCATAAAGAAAAGGAATATCCTTTTCTTCTCATGCTGCCCTTGTGAGATCTTG